ACATACATCTCGACAGAGGCAACATTCGATATGAAAGTTTCCTCTGTCGAGAAACTTCCTCACACCTCAAGAGATGCGAAGAACTTTTGACAGGCAAAGTGCAATATTGATAGGTGATTGCACTTTGCCTGTCACATACATCTCGACAGAGGCAACATTCGATATGAAAAGTTTCCTCTGTCGAGAAACTTCCTCACACCTCAAGAGATGCGAAGAACTTTTGACAGGCAAAGTGCAATATTGATAGGTGATTGCACTTTGCCTGTCACATACATCTCGACAGAGGCAACATTCGATATGAAAGTTTCCTCTGTCGAGAAACTTCCTCACACCTCAAGAGATGCGAAGAACTTTTGACAGGCAAAGTGCAATATTGATAGGTGATTGCACTTTGCCTGTCACATACATCTCGACAGAGGCAACATTCGATATGAAAGTTTCCTCTGTCGAGAAACTTCCTCACACCTCAAGAGATGCGAAGAACTTTTGACAGGCAAAGTGCAATATTGATAGGTGATTGCACTTTGCCTGTCACATACATCTCGACAGAGGCAAACATTCGATATGAAAGTTTCCTCTGTCGAGAAACTTCCTCACACCTCAAGAGATGCGAAGAACTTTTGACAGGCAAAGTGCAATATTGATAGGTGATTGCACTTTGCCTGTCACATACATCTCGACAGAGGCAACATTCGATATGAAAGTTTCCTCTGTCGAGAAACTTCCTCACACCTCAAGAGATGCGAAGAACTTTTGACAGGCATAGTGCAATATTGATAGGTGATTGCACTTTGCCTGTCACATACATCTCGACAGAGGCAACATTCGATATGAAAGTTTCCTCTGTCGAGAAACTTCCTCACACCTCAAGAGATGCGAAGAACTTTTGACAGGCAAAGTGCAATATTGATAGGTGATTGCACTTTGCCTGTCACATACATCTCGACAGAGGCAACATTCGATATGAAAGTTTCCTCTGTCGAGAAACTTCCTCACACCTCAAGAGATGCGAAGAACTTTTGACAGGCAAAGTGCAATATTGATAGGTGATTGCACTTTGCCTGTCACATACATCTCGACAGAGGCAACATTCGATATGAAAGTTTCCTCTGTCGAGAAAACTTCCTCACACCTCAAGAGATGCGAAGAACTTTTGACAGGCAAGTGCAATATTGATAGGTGATTGCACTTTGCCTGTCACATACATCTCGACAGAGGCAACATTCGATATGAAAGTTTCCTCTGTCGAGAAACTTCCTCACACCTCAAGAGATGGCGAAGAACTTTTTGACAGGCAAAGTGCAATATTGATAGGTGATTGCACTTTGCCTGTCACATACATCTCGACAGAGGCAACATTCGATATGAAAGTTTCCCTCTGTCGAGAAACTTCCTCACACCTCAAGAGATGCGAAGAACTTTTGACAGGCAAAGTGCAATATTGATAGGTGATTGCACTTTGCCTGTCACATACATCTCGACAGAGGCAACATTCGATATGAAAGTTTCCTCTGTCGAGAAACTTCCTCACACCTCAAGAGATGCGAAGAACTTTTGACAGGCAAAGTGCAATATTGATAGGTGATTGCACTTTGCCTGTCACATACATCTCGACAGAGGCAACATTCGATATAAAGTTTCCTCTGTCGAGAAACTTCCTCACACCTCAAGAGATGCGAAGAACTTTTGACAGGCAAAGTGCAATATTGATAGGTGATTGCACTTTGCCTGTCACATACATCGACAGAGGCAACATTCGATATGAAAGTTTCCTCTGTCGAGAAACTTCCTCACACCTCAAGAGATGCGAAGAACTTTTGACAGGCAAAGTGCAATATTGATAGGTGATTGCACTTTGCCTGTCACATACATCTCGACAGAGGCAACATTCGATATGAAAGTTTCCTCTGTCGAGAAACTTCCTCACACCTCAAGAGATGCGAAGAACTTTTGACAGGCAAAGTGCAATATTGATAGGTGATTGCACTTTGCCTGTCACATACATCTCGACAGAGGCAACATTCGATATGAAAGTTTCCTCTGTCGAGAAACTTCCTCACACCTCAAGAGATGCGAAGAACTTTTGACAGGCAAAGTGCAATATTGATAGGTGATTGCACTTTGCCTGTCACATACATCTCGACAGAGGCAACATTCGATATGAAAGTTTCCTCTGTCGAGAAACTTCCTCACACCTCAAGAGATGCGAAGAACTTTTGACAGGCAAAGTGCAATATTGATAGGTGATTGCACTTTGCCTGTCACATACATCTCGACAGAGGCAACATTCGATATGAAAGTTTCCTCTGTCGAGAAACTTCCTCACACCTCAAGAGATGCGAAGAACTTTTGACAGGCAAAGTGCAATATTGATAGGTGATTGCACTTTGCCTGTCACATACATCTCGACAGAGGCAACATTCGATATGAAAGTTTCCTCTGTCGAGAAACTTCCTCACACCTCAAGAGATGCGAAGAACTTTTGACAGGCAAAGTGCAATATTGATAGGTGATTGCACTTTGCCTGTCACATACATCTCGACAGAGGCAACATTCGATATGAAAGTTTCCTCTGTCGAGAAACTTCCTCACACCTCAAGAGATGCGAAGAACTTTTGACAGGCAAAGTGCAATATTGATAGGTGATTGCACTTTGCCTGTCACATACATCTCGACAGAGGCAACATTCGATATGAAAGTTTCCTCTGTCGAGAAACTTCCTCACACCTCAAGAGATGCGAAGAACTTTTGACAGGCAAAGTGCAATATTGATAGGTGATTGCACTTTGCCTGTCACATACATCTCGACAGAGGCAACATTCGATATGAAAGTTTCCTCTGTCGAGAAACTTCCTCACACCTCAAGAGATGCGAAGAACTTTTGACAGGCAAAGTGCAATATTGATAGGTGATTGCACTTTGCCTGTCACATACATCTCGACAGAGGCAACATTCGATATGAAAGTTTCCTCTGTCGAGAAACTTCCTCACACCTCAAGAGATGCGAAGAACTTTTGACAGGCAAAGTGCAATATTGATAGGTGATTGCACTTTGCCTGTCACATACATCTCGACAGAGGCAACATTCGATATGAAAGTTTCCTCTGTCGAGAAACTTCCTCACACCTCAAGAGATGCGAAGAACTTTTGACAGGCAAAGTGCAATATTGATAGGTGATTGCACTTTGCCTGTCACATACATCTCGACAGAGGCAACATTCGATATGAAAGTTTCCTCTGTCGAGAAACTTCCTCACACCTCAAGAGATGCGAAGAACTTTTGACAGGCAAAGTGCAATATTGATAGGTGATTGCACTTTGCCTGTCACATACATCTCGACAGAGGCAACATTCGATATGAAAGTTTCCTCTGTCGAGAAACTTCCTCACACCTCAAGAGATGCGAAGAACTTTTGACAGGCAAAGTGCAATATTGATAGGTGATTGCACTTTGCCTGTCACATACATCTCGACAGAGGCAACATTCGATATGAAAGTTTCCTCTGTCGAGAAACTTCCTCACACCTCAAGAGATGCGAAGAACTTTTGACAGGCAAAGTGCAATATTGATAGGTGATTGCACTTTGCCTGTCACATACATCTCGACAGAGGCAACATTCGATATGAAAGTTTCCTCTGTCGAGAAACTTCCTCACACCTCAAGAGATGCGAAGAACTTTTGACAGGCAAAGTGCAATATTGATAGGTGATTGCACTTTGCCTGTCACATACATCTCGACAGAGGCAACATTCGATATGAAAGTTTCCTCTGTCGAGAAACTTCCTCGAAACTCCAATTTTTCTTTAGAACTACAATATCTTAACAATTAGCTCATCAAAACACAACCTATAAACTTTAATTTTTACTTTTTTTTTTTCAATATATGAACTAAATTTTTTTTTTTCAAATTACTCCCACACTGGGAAAAGTATTTTAACTCAGATGTTGCCAGCCTCTTCATCATTGCATTAACAAGTGCTTTGACTCAGAGGTTGCCAGCCTCTTCATCATTGCATTAACAAGTGCTTTGACTCAGAGGTTGCCAGCCTCTTCATCATTGCATTAACAAGTGCTTTGACTCAGAGGTTGCCAGCCTCTTCATCATTGCATTAACAAGTGCTTTGACTCAGAGGTTGCCAGCCTCTTCATCATTGCATTAACAAGTGCTTTGACTCAGAGGTTGCCAGCCTCTTCATCATTGCATTAACAAGTGCTTTGACTCAGAGGTTGCCAGCCTCTTCATCATTGCATTAACAAGTGCTTTGACTCAGAGGTTGCCAGCCTCTTCATCATTGCATTAACAAGTGCTTTGACTCAGAGGTTGCCAGCCTCTTCATCATTGTAAAAATGTATTACCGCTTTTTTTTTTAATTCAATCGTAACATCTCAATTATCCCGCCAAAAATTATTGGGTCTAAATTGGTTTTTATTATTATTATTTTCAGAAACAAACTAACTTGTTTTTTACGAATTTATCATTCATAAAGTCTTTATGATATATTTTCAACTTATAATGAATATGAAATTATAATTGTTATTTTGAAAAAAAATTATTCATGATCAATTCATGATTTAACCAGTTCCTTCAAATTAGGAGAGCATATTCAAATATAATCGCTCATTAAAATCAATTTTTATGTTTTTTTTTAAATCGAAATTATCTCATCATAAACCACGCAAACTGACTATTTGTTCTTATCACCATGTTACCAATATCAGAATTGTCTTTACAGCCAAAATTTCGCTCGATAAAAGTCCATCCAATAGTGAGATAATTGAGCAACTAACATTTTTCCATATCACAAAAACCTCCGCCGAGTTGGAATACTTCTTTTTTCTGAAGTTCACGGAAATCTTTTAATTTGTATTTTAAAATTTATCTAACCTCTAAAGGAACTACTTTGCCGATATAAACTTTTTAATGTCAATTTACTTTTTCCGAAAAACCGCCATTTTCCATTTATTTTACTTTCAGACTACAGTGCAGCCTTAAAAAAAAATGAATACAAATGATCAAAGTTCATTACAGGATTTGAACAACCCTATCTACCTTCGCACACCAAACCCTTATCAAAATGATCAAAATCAAATTTCTCTATTTAACCAAACTCTCGAAAACTCGAATAATAGTAATAAAGATAATCCAAGTCCATATCAAGATACAGATCACAATTATATCGATGATTTTAGGAATATTCAACCAGATACTGCAAAAACTATTGTAGAACTTGGCAACTCAAAATCATTCAAAAAAATCTATGACTTCCTTATTAAACTATCTAAATCTAATAATAAAGATGGTGCTATAGCTGCTTATCATTATGGGCTCTTTGATTTTAGAAATGATGGTGATAAGACTCCATTGATTCTAGCATGTTATGAAGGGTATTTCGAAGCTATCAAATTCTTTGTTGAAAACAGATGTTATAATGAAAAAAATACAGCCAAGGAAAAAATTCCATTAACACATTTAATTTTGTTGAAGAGGCCTAATTTTGTAAGATACCTTTTATCAGAAGGTTTCGATAAAGATGCTGTAGACGAGAAAGGTGAAACATTACTTTATAGGTCATTAGAACATTCACAACCAGATCTTGCAAAATACATTTTGTCGATTGGGGCCGATCCATCAAAAGGTAAATCTAACATATTCCATCCTGTAATAATATCTTCATACGTTGATATTTATAATCAACTAATATCTCTTGGTGCTGATCCTTTTGCAAAGAATTATTGCCCATTTTGCATAGCATATTGCTGTGTAGAAATAATGAAACATTTACTTTCTATAGGCGCAAATATTAATGAGCGCGATGAATATGGAGACACAGCTTTGATGATGGCATGCCACAGTAATTATGAACACAATATTCCTGGTATAAATTTTCTACTTAAAAATGGTGCGAATGTAAATCTTCGAAATAGAGAAGGGAAAACTGCTTATGACTTACTACGAGATGATAAGTTTGGCACTAAAAGAAAGCTAATAAAGGCAGGTTATAAAAAAGATTGCAGAATATGTTAATTTCATAAGTTAAGAAATTGAATTTCTAACAAATTATGTTTACGAATTAAAAATGGTATTAGTAATCCTAATATGTAAGTAAACTATTAACACTTTTTAGAACATTAACATAAATCGACTTATGAATTAAACAAAACTTACCAAAAATTTTAAAATTATAATTATTTTAACTCTAATATCATAAATTATAACTTTTCATATTAGCACGAATACATGTGAAGAAGTTTTTTATTCTAACTTTGAGAAATAATCTTTTATTTTATGAAAGTTTAAAAATATATTAATTATTAAAATAAATAAACATTAAATCTTTAGTTATTCTCTGCAATTATACTGAAAACGGCCTCATTAATATTCTGGGTGTCAATATTTTCATCTGTTTTGGCAAAGATCTGTTTTATGTTGTCAAGGTTAGAGAATTCTTGGAGGACGTCCTGTGAAAGCAATAATTCGGATGGTTGGGCAGAAAGTATCCAATTAATAAGTGTATTTACGAAATCTTCTTTGTTTGTCAAGGAAAATGAATATGATCTAAAGATATCATTGACATCGCAATTGGCAGACAGGAAATCGAAAAAGAATGAAGGATATAAAGTTGGAAAAGAAATAAATCTTCCAAGTGGAGGTTTCTTTTGTGGGAAAATATCATGGAACTCCTGGACCCTTTCATTCATTATAATCGTAATTCTGGATTTCGGAAGTGATTCTACATCGATTTTTCTGACATTTCGTTGAGGAACACTTTCCCAGTATTCCAAGAGCCTGCATTGGGCAACGAATAATAAATCTGGCTCTGTTTGTGTCAGCGATGACTCTCTACTGTTCCAATATGATAATGCTTTCTCATTATCGAAACCAGAGAAGATAACGCGCCTGAAATAATTCAAACTATCATTCTTGAAGTCGATTTCCTCGGTTTTATCTTCTTTCGGCAATAGTTTTTCTTTCATTGCTCTTAATGTTGCAGAAACTATATCATCTGCGACCACGAGTGCAATCATTGACCTCAGTACAGCAAGAGCTTCAGCTGAGTCCTTAACTAGTTCGGCTGCTTTGAGAAAATCTTCTTTGGATTTGCAAGAATGCGCTTTAATTGCTGCTTCGCTTTCTTCTGCGAGCAAATACTGTGGGAAACTTATCATTGAGTATGTATTTGGTGATGTCTTCTTTGTATTTTCATATTTCACAGAAAATACTGTAAAAGTTTTGTTAGCATCAAGAAATCCAGCTGCAAATTTAGGCGTGTGCAACTGTATAAGCTTTCCACCTGGTGCTGCCCTAACAGCATCGATGATTTCGCCATTTGGTGTTGTACATGCGATAATCATTTTTCTGTAAGGGGCATAGATTATTAAAACAGGATCTTTGCTCGAAGAAGACTCAGACCATGCCACTTGTGCATCTCTAAGCCCTTTGTAAACTTTGACCATATGACCAAATACGCTATCAATAAGTAGAACGCGGCCTTGGCCATCGCAGATGCTTATCCAGCGTCCTGTAGGGTCTGCTTCGATAGATCTCGTAACTCTGCCTTCATCTCGAAGATTCCATTGTTTCTTTGACTTTGGATATTCTTCTTCTTGCTTATTGTTATCAGTAAACGCCATCCACTTAAATAAGTTAGTAACGATCTTTTTAACTGAAATTGTTGAATCGGAATTTGCAGCTGAAAAAACGCTGAAAAATGGATTATTTCCTATAGTATAAATAGCAGGAAATTCATGCAAACCATTCATGATTGGTGTTGAAAACTTGGAATCGACAAAGATTGCATCAGAATAATTTGTTTCGAGATGCCATTTGTTTATCTTGGAAGTAATATCGGCATTTGGATTCTTTATCATTTCTTCGATGGCATCTAATGGAATTATTACGATATCTGGAGGATATTGAGCAATTAAAGCAGGTTTACTTGACGTGAACTGGCCTCCATAGTATCTACAGAGTCTAAGACGTCGTAATCTAAGTTCTAGAGGTTGCAATCTGAATAATTCTTTCGTTTCGCTCATAAAAATGATCGTTCCATTTGGTAAACCAATGGCAAATACCCATGGATTTGATGAAATGGTTTCTATGCATGATATTTGATCAATTTTCTTACTTTTCATGAGTTTTGGGGTTTCTCTTTCTGCATCAAAAAAAGAAAGATAATTATCTGTAACTTTGCATATTGTCTTATTGTCAGGAGAGACAATGCATATTGTATCAAAGTCAGATGGCTGAATTACATTATCTTTATCTTCAAATGACCATGAGATTTCAACATCCATATTTTTTTTGACAAAAATCAAAAAATTTTTATTCCTTCAAAAAAGTGACAAAATTGCAAGACATCGACATCATATTCATTTTTTGAAATTTTCACATGCTTTCCTTCCTCATAGATGCTGTGAACTCAAATATAGCTTCTATGTAGCTACTTTTGTGAAATAAATCTTGTAAATCTCAAGCAATATTAATAGAAGTGGATGAATAATGCTATTATAAATCAGTACAAAATTTTGAGATATATGTACTGATATGAAGATAACAATAGTCTTCCTTCTCTCCACTGACTCCAAAGCTCACGTTCTTGATTGAAGAGAGCCTTTGTTTTTCAAAATTTCCTTGTCAGAAGATACTCTCTAACATTTGTCCCTCAGATTCTCATTTCCATTTATCTGAAAATAGTTCATGTATTTCAAGGCTCCCTTTCAGAAAGATTTGGCACTTTGTTCCCCCATGTTTTTCCATCAAAAAGAATCTTTCCCACAGCTCCTTATGCTGATTCAAGAATGATCAACAAACTCCAAATGCAATATTTTGAATATAAACTAAAACCTCTGTCTTGAAAATCTTATTAAAATTTATCGAAATGTTCAAAATCTAAGAGAAATAATAATGTCAAATCTAATCCTCTCGAACTGTACTCTATTGTTATTGTGTAGGTCTACATAAAAATAGGAGTTCCTCAAAAAAACCGTCAAAAAAGGGAAAGTCATCAGGTAAGCAAACAATGGGGAGAAGCTTCCTAAACTTTTTAATCCCATAAATATGGTCATTATCTGGAATAAAGAGTTAAGCGTCATATGTCACTTTTTGTACTAAGGAAACATCGACTTTATGCGTTATGACTTTTCGATGAGGAAACAAGTGTTCACGTATTATAAACTTCCTTATTCCAATAAACCGACCCTAAACATAATTAATTCTAAGCATGATAATGGTCTCTTTTCTATGATAACCAAATCAATTTGGTTATCATAGTAAAGCACCAAAAACTGGAATAGGAATAACCGCACTTAAACAGGAATAGGCAGTGTGGAAACTAGAGAAGACTCAACTGATTTTTTAAGCAACTCTTCTTGCCGATTCAAATCTGCTTTGCTAATCATTGTATATTACTATATTCTGATTAGGATACTTTAACGCTTGATGCATGCACATCATTCTTTTAGCTGATTTCTAAAATACAATCTTCTATTAACTTTGAAATTTCTTCAAAAGTTATAGTAATTCCATAGTTCATTCGTAAAATGTTATTAAATAGCTCTGACTATTCCTTTGCACGCAAAATGAGGTAGTATTTTTTGAATTTTTTACTCAAAATAAAACAAAATCTACCCAATTTTATACCACTAAAGCCTATATTGACACACATATATATAAATCTCTATTGTTATAAGATAAATTTGAAAAAATAAATTTTTTTCCTAAAATGTAAAATTATACTTGTATTCAAAGAAAGTAGATCGTTTATAAGGAAGGTATTATATATTTGGGGAGAAAATCCCTTACAATATACAAAAATATGAAAGAATATTCAATCATCAGGAAAGAGCTTAGTACTAACCATTTGTGAGACGTTCATATAATATCTTTTTCCTTTTTGGGGTTTTTAATCGGATTATCCATTTCCCTGCATTGACTTTAATTCATTCTTGATGATCTGAGTATACATGATCATTATCGAACGTTTGCCATACTCTTCCACAGTTAATGATTGCTGAAAAATGAATAGTACTGAATAACAGCTGGAATTTCATAAGTATTTTGCGTATTTATACTGATTTAAACATGAAATACTCATACAAAATGCGGCAAACCCAAATTTTAGCTAAAAGTGACAGGGAAAATTGCTCGGTTCTACATTCAAAATAAATTTCATTAATTTTTACGTACATATTAAGGTACTTATCTTCTACATATATAATCTTCATTAGATATATACATGATAAATAAAATTCATAAAACATTAAAAATCAAAAAATTAGATGAACTTTGGCAATTAAACTTTATTAAATAATAGTTGTTTATAAATTATATTATATTATTATTTAATATTATTTTGATAATGAAGATTTTATTTTGCAATAATATAAACGAAATTTTTTACCTTATGAACTTTTGATGGAAATATGCAAATTTAAAATAATAAAGAAAGCCGCGAGCGAAGCGATCGGCTTAGTTCGAAGATTTTGATTCAAATCTTTGCTGATCTGTAATTCGCGGAAGCCGCGAGCGAATCGAGCGGCTTAGGTCTAAGATTTTGATTCAAATCTTTGCTTATATTCCTTAAATTCTTTATGAAACTCGCAACAGTTCCATAAAAAATTTTAAATTCTAAACTGTCGAAATTACCGATCGGTAATCACACCCTTCACGGGTGTGTCACTTTTTACAAATGTGTCACTTTTAGCTAAAATTACCCCTACTCTACAAAATGCAAAGTTTTTAAAAACAATCAATAAAAGATTTTAAATTAGATAAAATATCATATGTCACTTCTTTTTTCATCTGGATAATAAAATTGATAAATTTTTTTCTAATTAAAGATAAAGATGCATTTATAGTAGTAGAAAATTAATTTCTAGACTAAAGCTTGTTTATTGTCACCGTTTTAAGTCTAAATTTATAGGAAATGGTTATTTTATTATGCATTAAAAGTTCTTCTATAAAATTAACATTAAAATCATCTTTCGCCTAAGAGTAATAACAAGGTTATGCAAATTTTATTGAAAATAGTACGAGAATTTTGTTTGAAAATATAATATGGTTAAAAATAGGGAATGGATGTATGAATGTTCCATATTTATTTTATCCGAGTTGCTTCATGATTCCATATTGCCGATTCCTATTCCAGTTTTTGGTGCTTTACTATGATAACCAAATTGATTTGGTTATCATAGAAAAGAGACCATTATCATGCTTAGAATTAATTATGTTTAGGGTCGGTTTATTGGAATAAGGAAGTTTATAATACGTGAACACTTGTTTCCTCATCGAAAAGTCATAACGCATAAAGTCGATGTTTCCTTAGTACAAAAAGTGACATATGACGCTTAACTCTTTATTCCAGATAATGACCATATTTATGGGATTAAAAAGTTTAGGAAGCTTCTCCCCAATGATCTGGAATTTCTTAGACAATGTAAAAAAAAGAAAATAGTTAGATAGTTATTCAGATCGAATTTTTTCTATTCAACCAAACCAAATGTAACAACCCATGGGTTTACAAATTCAATCCAAAAAAGTGACAATTTTTTTAGATGTATAAAAACTCTCAACATGCCTATGCCATGAAAGTAATTTTAGTTGGATCAAGCGGTGTTGGCAAAACAAGTCTTGTGAGTGCATTCTTCGAAAATCCATTTGATTTGCAAGCTCTGCCAACAGTTGCTCCAGCTTCATGCAATGCTACTATAAATCTTCCTGGTGGAACTCGTGTTGAACTTCAAATATGGGATACTGCCGGACAAGAGCGTTTCCAAGCAATTTCTCAGATGTTTTACCGTGATTCTCACATTGCATTTGTTTGCTACGACACAACTACCGAGGATACAGTTCCAAGTTGGGTAGAACGCGTTAGATCAGAAGTACCAGATTGCATTATATTCCTTGTAAGTACAAAGTCAGATACTTTAACTCCAGAACAGCTATTAAAAGTCCGCGAGAAAGGCCAAAAATTTGTGGATGAACAAGAGGCATATATGCATTGTATTACATCAGCAAATAAAAAGAATGGAGTTCAAGAACTATTTACCGAAGCGGCTAAATGCTGCACAATGGTATATCAATCTAACCAACCTACTGTAGATCTTACACCAACTGGTGGTGATAATAAGAAGACTGGTTGCTGCTAAGAATATATTCTTTTTACTCTTTTTTATAATTAAATCTTTCATTGTCATGATACTTCTTTTTATCTAATCTGACAAAAGATTCTATATGAATAATTTGAAATTTATCGCCCATCATTTGTGTGTTTTCTTCCGGTAGTACCGATCGTAAAAAACAATTAATCTAATTCAACTACTGTAATGTTGATTTTTCACATTTTCTCATGCTGTAAATAGTTCCTCATGCCATAAATTTGATTTATATGCTAAAATTTCCTTCAAATAAAAGGTGACCAAACTATTTTTTGAAAGTCCGCCATAACTTTAATGGTACTATTTCAGCGTGTACAATGAATACAAAAATTCTAAGAGTGCCACATAAAATAGTACTTTAGACTTGAGTTAATGCTACCAAGCAAATGTTAAAAAGATGACTTTAGTGTTTTGATAATCAAAGATTAAAATCATTATTGTCTAAATCAATAATCATAACGACAGAAGTTAATGTTTTTTCATCAGTGCTTTAAATCCACTTTTAAAAGTATACCTCAAAAATCAAAATATCAAAAAAAAATTGGCCGATAGGTTTGGCTTTAATTTTTGTCTGCTTTTATGATTTGATATGGATGTTATAATTTTAAAAGTTGAGCCAAATTCACCAATAGATTTTTGAGATTTGCAAATACTCAATAATTTTCAGCGTGTTATCTTTTATTAAAAGAACTATTTGGTTTCAGTATCATATAAATTGATATTTACTTTCTATTTGAACCTTCATTTAGCTAATGATTTAATAATACAGATTTCATCTAGTCCTTATAAGAGAATTTTGAATTTGTTATAATAAAAAAACAAACAGATATAGCTTACACTTCTATAATAAAGATACCTTTTATAGAAATCAGTATGAAATGTGTTTTGGCTTATTGGAAGCATATCAGACATAATCGCCATAATCAAAAAATCTATATACCCAATAAGTAATAAATTTGTCGATATAGATTTTCCATAAAATTAGTTTTTAGTCTGATCTTAAAATAAATTTAATTTTTTATAAAAAAAATCACATTTAAAAGTACCTTTTTAGTAGCTCGAAATCCTGTTGGTGGATTTCGGGCGTACTTCAAAATTAGCTTTTCTTCTACATATGCAAGCTATATTTTAAATATGGGGCAAATCGGATCGGCGAAAGGAGTTTAGTTACCTTTTTCAAATATTATTCATTTTATATTTTCATTCGTATCACATAAAATTTGATACATAATAGTGGTTATCTAATCTACTTGATCCATAATGATGCATGAATTGAAAGTAAAATAAAATAGTGATTCTAAATATACATAAATAGTAATGCAATTGATGTTAGAAATTCTTATGTTTTGCATTTTAGAAGGTTTGCTCAATTTAAAATTCTATAATGAAAAATATATTTTTTGATTTTCTTGATTTAACCTAAAATGATAAGTATTTATTTACTATGGTAAAAATATCTAATAATTTATTTTGGAAGGATGTCCTTAAGTTGTTTATGATCTCTATGAGCATAAGAACCTTGTGCACCAAGAGCTGTAACAGAAATGGATGCGCAAACGCAGGCAATACGTGCAGCATCTTCGTAACTGCAACCTTTAGAAAGGCAATATGAGAAAGCACCAAGGAATGAATCGCCTGCACCTGTTGTATCGACAGCTTTAACCTTTGGTGATGGGACAGAAACTGTTGGCTTGCCCTTTTCGTAAACTGAAGCACCTTCTGGCCCTTTTGTGCATACAACAGCTTCAACGCCAACTTCGAAGAAATCTTCAACTTTTCCGAAGGTGGCAAGCTCGTGTTCGTTAAGGATAACGATGGATGCATCCTTGAAGAGGTTAATGTCCTTCTTTTCTGGAAGGGGAGAAACATTAAGAATTGTTTTAGCTCCTCCCTGGCGAGAGATCTTGAGAACTTCGAGGGCTGTCTCTACAGGGATTTCAAAGTTGGTGACGACGTACTTGCTGTGAGAGAGCTTCTCAGACATCTTATGAACCATATCAATTGTGACTGGATTTGGGTGGATGATGATAGCTGACTCGCCACCATCGAGTACGAAGCAAATTGCACATCCTGTTGGGATTTCTTTGACAACTTGAACGAAATCTGTTGAGATACCGATTTCTTTGAAGTGGTTGATGCAAACCTTACCATCAGAGTCATCGCCAACTGATGTGAGAAGGTTTGGCTTGTGATTTTCGTCGGAGAGGAATGCGAACTGTGCACAAGCATTTGGTGCTTTACCGCCAAATCCGTGGCCTAAGCTAATTCCGTGGATTGTTTCGCCAAGGTTTGGAAGTCTATGGCATTGTGAAATGAGATCCATATTGCATATGCCGACGAATGTAGTCTCCATTGCAAAAAAATGGATTTTGACAGTGTATGATGGGTGTTCAGAATTTATATTTTTGTATCGGATTCTCCGAAATTCAATACATACATTAATTTTGGTTTCCATTTCTCATTCCACTTTGCATTCGCTAATTTATACGATGGTTTCAAATAATTCCGTATACAGTCAAAAATTGAAAATATTTCTTTACTCATGCGGAAATATAAATAGAAAAATGATTACATCAAAGGAGGAAACTTGTTGCAAATGAAAGGTACATTCACTAGGCGATAACAGTAAAATGGGATGAAAATAGGATAAATAGCATCCCTATATAGTGCCTAACAATATTTATACGGGCCAAAAAAAATTTGGCTAGAGATTTGGCGAGTTATAAAACTTAGAAAATTGAGAGGGATTTTTATTTTTGAATTTTTTTTGGAAAGTTAAAATTGCGATTAAAAATCGATTTCCAGGAGAACTAAGCATCTCATAATATATTTAAATCGATAAAAATATTAAATAATAGTTGAATGATATAACAACATGAAATTATGGCTGAATCTACAGAAAAAATGAACATATTTGACATTTTTGAAAATTCATACGTTAGATGGTGACAGACTCATAAACTATACTTTAGCTAAGATTGATATATGGTTTCAACAACACATGGTTAAAATCGTAAAAATATTTTAGATTTCAAAAAGATATATATGGTAATATAATGGAACAAAGTCAACAAATAGCATGTTAAATATGTTATAATTAACTTTTTATTAGATCCAATAGTAGATATCGAATGGTTTCCAGCTTTATGGTTAAATATTTTCTTTTCGAGCTTCTCTTTAACTGTTGTATTAAGGTTGTAAATTTTTGATGCTAGAAACTATGGAATCTTCTTTGCTGCTGCATTTTTCTTGAGAGTTCTTGCAATTTCGAATAGATCTGCGCATTGTATGAAATGGAGGCTTTAAAATATCTTGAAAACAGAATAGGACTGCTTTTCCAAAGGAATGCTTACTTGTAAATCAGAGAGTTTCAAAATTGACAGCAAGATTATCATCATAACTTTCGATTTTGCTGCGAAAAAGGAAGACAAGTAATTAACAAATCATTTACTGTTGTTCATCAAAAGAAGAAAACTTTGATAACAACTAATGATGATAAAATCAAGCTATCTTTTAATATTTTAAATTGATAAGACATTCAAAATATTTGAATGGTTTAAAATATTTTCTTTTAATTTCTATAAGATATTATCATGATTATATAATAAAATTTAAATTTTTATTCAAAAAGGCAATATTTCAAACTTTTAATTTCAAAAATCTTAATTCTGCAATAAGTGTATTTAATTGTAGCAAACTTAATGATACTTCGTCATGCTTAGCAATTTGGAACTCATAAATTAATGATTTCTTCAAGTAAAATTCTGCATTATTTCGGGCGCGTAAAGGTTTGGCGTCCTAAGGCGTCCTGATGTAAACTATTCAATTTTTGAGAAGTTTACACTATAATTGAATAGTTTATGGCGTCCTGAGAGGAGATTTCAATGGGTATGGCGTCCTATAAAAATAGAAGAAAATGATTTTTTCTCGATTTTTCTAGAAATTGAATTTTTTAAAAAAGAAAAAAATCAAAACGTATACATTCAAGAAAGACTATAAATGAAGATTTTTCTATTTTTTTTCATTCTAAAACATCTTTTTTTGGATAATTTTTTTTTAATAAATATGTAAGAAAGATTGAAGAAAAAGTAAATTTACTTTAAGAAAATTCGTTTTACATGATGTAAGACCCATAACAACTATAAATATTCAATTATTTAAAATAAAAAAGAAAAACAGATTAAATGTATCTCACATCAAAATCCATTGACCTAAGGATGTTAAGTTTCTGTTTTTAAAAGTTGATATTTTTTTTTTAATTTTAAGAAAATTAATAGCATGTTATTAGACAATAGGAGTGTAATGATATTGACTAAACAGAAATGAGAGAATAGAGATATAATTTTGATAAGCAATATTGCGAACAAATTCTGAAGTAAAATCGCGATCAATAATTGAAAATTACGATCATGTACTGAAAAATGACGATCGAATTGAATGAATAGAATTATATCTAAGAAAAAATAAATTGTATTTAGAAGATGAACAAAGAAAGGTGTATGCTAAAAATCATTTAACAATAAATGGAAATAAAACGAAATTGTTAAAAGAAAAAAATGAAAATTGTTAAATAATATATTATTTTTTTAGTCATAAGAATAAAAATATAGTAGTTATAAAAGGAATTAGACTTCATATATCAATACTTTTTCTCTGTAGATGTGGAACGTTTGCTTTTCGATCTCTTTCGATGAACTTGAAAATATAAGTTATTATCGCTGAGAATCCTTTCCGAAATAGGAGCTTTACGTTTAGGAGGATTGTCGGATGAATTTTGTTTTTTATTGTTTGATTTTGTTGTTATGGAAGATTTTTTTTATTTTTTTCAGAATTTTGCTTGCTATTAACTGAAACTTGTTTTGACGGCCCAACAATAGCATTTGTAGTAGGAAGAATTCCCAATAACGAGCGCATTTTCGATAATTGTTTTTCAATATGATCAAGAAGGTCCAGCTTATGTTCTAGATTACTAGACATTTGATTTGTAGAAGGATGGTTTTGATTTTCTGGTTCTAAATCTGTAGAGTCTGCAATATTTGAATTTTCGGAGCGAATTGGAGCATCTGAACCTTGATTTGTATCGGCTTGCTCAAAATTAGTTTGAATTGGAGTGGATGAATTAAAATCTGGATGATTTAATGTTTCATTAAATAATGCCATAATTTTTTCTCTTTTTTCATTAATAAACTTAGTGATCATTGTATCTTTATCTGTTAGATCGATCGATTTGAGTATATCTGCATCATGAACTGGAATATTTTCGAACAATGAACTCGATTCTATGGAACCATATGGAGAAATCTCGTTCTGAGCCAAAGAAAGATCACTTACGTTGTATTGTTTGATAGAAAAAATTGTTTTCTCAAGTTCTTTTTGAAAGCAGTCAAGAATATAATTTTTGTAGCTATCAGTGATAACGGTTTTTATATGGCGCTCGATCTTCTGGTTATTTTTGATGGCGTTATATTTATCTAATTGGATTTGAGATATCTTCTTAATAGCTTCATAAATGTTTGGATGTTTTAACGAAGAAAATTCTGAATGCATACTCTCGAGGCAATCATTAGTGAATATTGCAGTTGCATTATTATATTGAGATATTAAATTGTAGTGCGGCAACCAAACTTTGTTGAAATAATCAATATAATCTTTGATCGAATCAACTTTATTTTGATTAATTATATGCATTGTAAGTACAAATTCTTCATGAGACATGAATGGAGTAATAGAATATAGCTTAAATAAAGAATTTTGTAAAGTATTGAAATTTTTTGTATAAAGTGCTACAAGTTTCCTGTGTAAAGCTTGTTTGAAATGAAATAGGCATCCAATTATACGGACTTTAGGGAAAATTTGTTGAAGTGCCTCTATCATTCCCTTTTCAAAATCACAATGAATTTGAATTAGCTTTGAAAATTGAATACCCTTGACAGTAAAAATATATTCAAATGCCTTCTTATAAGATTCAAATGTGCGGTTTTTCATGAATATAAATAAAAGTGGTAGATATTGATTTGTTGAAGGTTCACAAATCATAATTGTTAGCATCTGTCCTTTTTGAAAATGTTTTGGTGTAATTTTAAAAGTTCCATCGCAAAATAAATCTGTGGCTTCTTTTGCAAATTGAATTGCCTTCTCAAAACCAAAAAACATCGTCTCACAATTTGCTTGAAAATCATGGCCAATGAAAAACTTCTCGCCATTTATTAAACAAAAATTAGCAATTTCATCGTCTGTAATTTTTTCTCCAACAGAAAATTTTCTGGACTTATTATAAACTTCCCTGACCAATGAATCTTTAATTAATGGGTTTTCATCAGTACCAACAGCAAGTTCTGTCATAAATTTTTTAATCTGCTGAAAAGTGCCGTTGTCTTCAGAAAATTTTGCCATTGCCTTATTGTATATTTCTGTTAGAGTCATTGATTTATGAAGATCATTTTTTTTTCATTTTGTAACTTTTTAAATTGTCTGCATTCGGGTATATGTTCCTTTTGTAAATCTTCGGAAACTGAACTGTTCTCAATTTTAACTAAATAACGTGCTTGACAAGAATGATCGATGCAACGGTAGTAACGTTCAATATTATTTGAATTAATAATATTTGTATGATCATGCGAATAAAGCATATCTTTGCGAACAATTGTATCAGGATATTTTCCAGTAACTGCGGGAATATTTTTAACTGCAATATAACTAAAATATCTTCTGACAGCTTTAGATTCATTTTCGGCGTATTTAATATTAAAATATTGAAGAACTTGTTTGATTATATAGTTAGTATGGCTAAGTCGTGTATGGTGGCACTGCGTTTCACTTTACCCAATACTTGTGAATTTGACACTTTACAAAACCGTTAACGTGTATTTTACAACACAAACGACAACACTAACTTAACCTTAAATATTTACAAAACCACCACCCACTTCACTTCACTAACGAACTCACTAATGTAAAAAATAAACGTTCTCACTATCGTTCTCACTAACAACTTCACTAATGTTCTCATAAATTTTCCTCAATATCTTCATCATCAGTGTTAACCCTATTGTAGTCATACTTGAAGCCATAAACTTTCTCTAACTTCTTAACGTACAATTTACATAACTTACCTTCGTCATCGTATGGTTTAATGATATAACTATTTCTATCTTTATACACAGTCAATGAAAAGTCAACTGGTCTCGGATGTATTTGAAAGAACATGTTATGCTCAGGAAGGAAGAATAAATGTTTAAATGTATGTTTGTTATACTGTGGAATTCGAATGAGTTGCTTTTGTTCTGTCATTTACATCCAAATAAAAATTTTCAGTAAAAATAAAAAATAAACTTAAAATTAATGATCTCACCA